CCCGCTGCCGGGCCCAGGGGCTGCTCCTGTGGCCAGGGTGGGTGTGGGGGCCGAGTAGGGGCTGGTGGAGCCCAGGTCTGCGGCACCAGCTCTTCACACTGGCGTCCTGGTGAGCGCCAGCCTCCTGCAATTGGCCCTTTGGTAGCGTCTGGGTGCGCGCAGCCTCCCACCTCATGTGCTGTGGGCTCGCCTGGGACACGTGGGCTGTGAGGCCCCCTGGGCCTTGCCTCCAACCTCAGCGGTGCTGGCATTTGTTTGAGAAGCATGTGTACTGAAACTGGCACTTAAAACTCCAAAATGAGCAGAGCCGGTAACACACCCCTGTAGTCCCAGCGCTTTGGAGGCTGAGGCCGGAGTTCAAGGCCGCAGTGAGCTGTGATCCTGCCACTGCCCTGCAGCCTGGGCAACAGAAAACTCCAAAATGGAGTTTCCCCAGGCTGCGATTCTCTGTTCATTGCTTGATCCCTCAGCCAGAGTCCCCGCATGGCCTGGTCTCTGCCCCCTCATCAGGCCACACTGTCGGATGGGGTCCACCCTCCCTGGCATGGCCTCATCTCGGCTCCCAGAGTCCCATCTGGACTCTGCCTTCTGTCCTCCACCAGCTCTCCTACCCCCTCCTCCTCCTCCTCCACGGCCACCAGGGGGTTTCTAAATGCAGATCTGATACCACCTGCTCAGACCTCCCCCAGCCCCAGTGGGGAAGCCCCTCCTCTCCGCCCACCTGAGCCCAGCTCTCGCCCTTGCCCTCCCCTGCCTCTGTGCCTCTGGGCACGCCCCACCCCCGCCCACTGCAGGCCGACACCCCGTCTCTGTGGGTTAGGGGTGCAGTTGCCCTCTGCAGCATCCCGCCTGCTGCTCTCCCACACTTCTTGGGTGCTGGGGGTGCAGCCTCCTCTTGGGCCTCTTCTACTCTCCCCAGCGCCCAGCCTGGGACCTGGCACAGTTCCTCTGGGGTGAAGGGAGCTGAACGCATGTGGGTCTGCCGGCCCCTCCCCTTCCCACTACCCGGGGAGCTGCAGGCCCAGTGGGGGGTTAAGATACAATCACCTAAACCTGTGGTTCTGTTTTTGTCACATGAAAGAGTTTGTTTGCAAATGCAATTGTTTGGGAAAATCACATCCCCCAGTTAAGAGGTGAGAAGTGCAGCAGGTTTCGTGGCTCATCAGGCCCTGCAGCAGTGTTTGGGGACAGCAGGGCATTGAAAAGCTTGCTGAGGAGGCAGCTGGGGGCCTGTGCCTCACAAGTGACTTGTGGGCTGGGGCTCAGGGGGTGGCCATGAGCGCTCTGGAGTCCCCAGACTAGAGTCGGTCTTCCCTATGCTTGGGGACCCCTGGTCCCTCTCTCTGTCGTGGTCCCCTCATCTCTAAAGTGGAGCAAACACCTGCACCGGCTGTGCTTGGATTGGTGCGAAGGCGAGTGGCCCCTGGGGATGGGGTCAGGGAATTGTCTGCTTGAGGGGGGTGCCCTGCTTGGTCCTAGGTGTCTCCTGCCACTGTGCACGGGGAGGCCAGTCCCCCCTGCACGTACCCCTTTCTCCTCCCACCCTACCTCCTGGCTGCAGGCGTCGGGGAGCCATGGACTCCTCCCTCCCGGCCCCTGGCCCCTTCCTGGGTGTTCGCCGGGGAGGACAGATTTGGGGGATTATTTGAGCTCCCATAGAGTGAGCACATGTGCTGCCCTGGGGTGTTCCTGGCTGAAGTGTCACCCGTGGGACCTGCCGTCCCCAGAGGAGGCTGCCCTGGCTCCAGGCCTGGAGCCATTTAAGGGGCATCTGAGCCTGTGGTCTCACCCCTGGCAGACCCAGGACCAGGTACTGTGGCCAGACAGCACAGTGGTCCTGTGTGTCACCTGTAGCAAGGTAACATTCTGGGGAAATGGAAAATCAGTCGTTTACCCTTAAATATTTCTTTCTTTTTGAGGAACATTTGCTTCCCATCTGCAGGTACATGAGTTTGTGAGGAAAAGGCGCGTAGCTCACTGGAGGCGGCTTCCCGGGCGGGAAAGAAGTAGCACGATCACTGGAGGGCGGCGGTGGGGGTCAGTGAGGTGCTGTTCTGTGGGGAGCTGCTCACCCAGCCCCCACGGCCGCACCCCTCTGCAGGAGGGAGCAGGCATCGGCCCCCGGAGACTGTCACTGCCCAGACATTTGATGTCTCCCTAGTGCCAGGCCCCAGACCCTGGGGACATCTGAGCTGCCCTGGCCTGCCAGCCGGACCGGATGCTTTCTATAAACAACCTCCATTGAACGTCGAAACAAAAACATCAGCTGGATCACATCCCTTCCCTGCTTCCCACCGCACTCGGAAAATCCAAACTCCTCGGCACCTCTGGGCCACCTGCCCCTCCAACCTGTCTCTGCTGTTCCTGCCTCAGGGCGTTTGCACTTGCTCTTCCATTATCCTGACTACTTCCTTCTCCTCACTTCAGCTCAAATGCCTTCTCTTGGGTAAGATCCACCCTGAGGACCCTTTGTAAAGTAGCCGTCATCCTCCAGACCCAGCGCACCGTGTGGAACCCCCACCACCTGAAATGGTCACTGTCTGTAATTCTTGTGGGCCTAACATGGTGTCTAGTGGAATTTTTCCTGTTTTCCCGGAATTGTGGGCTAGGTGCAGAGCTGAGGCCAAGAGACACAGTGCTCCCCCCTCCCCCCACCGCCCAAATTCAGGGAGCTGCGGGTGGCTGGGGCTGGGAAAGGGCCGCCCTGGAGAACCAGCCCTGCCCACCTCCACGTCCCTGCAGTGAACTCAAGGCTGTGGGGGGCCTTTAGGTGAGTGCGGCGTTTGTGGCGGGAAACTATTTCCTCCTTGGTTTCCCAAGAAAACCGTCTCACAGCCAGAGGCACTGTAGCAACAGTCCGGCGGGCCGCCCTGGGCTGCGCGGACGGGCAGAGAGAGTGGGTCACATGAGATACGTGCTCGTGGGGTGTCGCCTGCCCCACCCGGTGAGTCCAGAGTAAGCGTGTAACGCAAGCCACAGGTGTTGCTTGGGAACTAAAACCGTGAGAAGCTGACTATTATTTACTAGCTCTGCTTTATAGACGGGGAAACTGCAAGTTTAGGGAACATGCGTGGCTTGGCCAAGGTTCAAGCAAACAAGTGGCAAAGCTGGACTTTGTGGCCGGGCCTGTCCGACTTCAGAGCGAGAGTGTTCCTGCGTCCGCCCCTCGACCGCCCGGGCAGGACGAGGACGCCGGCGCCTCTATGGGCAGGTGGGGGCCCGCGGGGCGCAGGCGAAGCCCCGTTCTCCGCGTGGGAGCCGTGCGGCTGTAGTGCGTTCAGGCAGCAGGCGGGCGACCGGGACAGGCACTTCAGCTGTAAAACCCGCCTCCAGACGGGCCGAGCCTGTTGTAATCACTCTCCTCCCTCTCCTGCCTCCCTGGCCCGACCACCAGTCCAGAGAAAATCCAACTCTGTTGTGGATGCGTATAAAGGCAAGAAAAGGGTTTTGAAGGATATATGCCAAACTGTTAATGGTAATTATCTTTAGGTAGAGGGGGAGTAGGATTAGAGGGGATAATTTAAATAGAACTCTAAATCTTTACTCTATAATTTGGTACTATCTGACTTTTTTGTGATTATGTATTCGTGTATCACTTGTGTAATAAAAAAAATTTTTTTAACCTGAGGAAACCTACCAGGCCTGGTTTTTATAAACGCCTTATGGAGGTCATTACAAACCTGGTTGCCTGGCCCCAGAAGCACTGGGCTCTCTTTCTGGGTGGGGCTTGAGGAAGAGGTGAGAACCCAGGGGGCACCTCAGGCTCTTCGGCACATGTCCTTTCCTCGGTGTCCTCTGAATCCAGCATGTCCCTGGACTGCTTGCTGCAGCGTAAAACTCAGGGTCTGCTTCTCCCTGGAGGAACTTTGCAAGGCGCAGTAATCGCTTCTAGGATTTCCAGTTTAATGTTCAACCTGAGCCTGGGGCCAGTTGAGTGAAGGTTGGTGCTGTCCTGCCCAGCTCCTGTTCTGTTTATAAACATCTTTATCGCCCTGAGAAGGAGCCAGTTCTTTTCACTCCAACGGGATGGGTCAGGGGTTGCTGCAGAGGTTAGTGAGCCCAGCGCCGAGGGGCTACTTGTGGAAGATCGTGCGACGCGTGCGACGTGGCTTGGCCTCGGGACGAGAGACCTGTGGGGCTGGCCTTCGCAACCAGGGCAGGAGGGGACCCTCCCGCCCTCCCTCCCTCCCAGGACAGCGCAAACTGATCAGCTGCCTTAAGGGTTTCTTTCCTTCTGCGGAGGAAGGTGCCGGACCTGGCAGTGGCCTCGTGTTGCTGTGGGCATAGCAAAGTCAATTTAATATGATTCTAATGTTTTCATCAGAAAACCTTGTTTTGGTTAATGCTTTCTGTGGAGGAGCCCCTGGAAAAACAGTATCAGTGGACGTGTCCCTGAACTCATCGAAAGCAGGGACTCAAGTCATCGCACAGCCGTGTTCGTAGCAGCGTCCTTCCCGGTAGCCAGGGGAAGGGAGCGACCCAGTGCCCGTCACAGATGACGGAGAAGCCACGTGGTCTCCGCGTGACGGAATAGTATTCAGCCTTCAAAAGGAGGGGCATTCTGACCTTGCTGTAACGCCGGCGAACCTCAAGGACATCACGCTAAGTGAAACAAGCCAGACGCAGAAGGACAGAGACGTGCGATCCCACTTACACGAGGCACCTGTCGTGGTCGAATGGCGGTTGTCTGGGGGCTGGGGAGTTTCAGTCTGGGCAGGCGAAAAAGTTCAGGAGGGGGATGGTGGTGATGGTTGCCCAGCAGCGCGAATATACTTCACGTCCCCGAACTGTGCACTTAAAAATGGCTACAGCTGGTGACTCAGAGAGTGGGAGAGTGAGTCGAAAAAAAAATTCAAAAGTAAAAGTAAAAAATGGCGAAAACTATCCAGGCCCGGTGGCTCACGCCTATAATCCCAGCACGTTGGGCGCTCGAGGTGGGAGGATCACCTGAGGCCGGGAGTTCAAGGCGATAGTGCGCTGCCATGCTCAGGTGACGCCCCTGCACTCCGGCATGAGTGACGGAATGTCTTTAAAAAAAAAAAAAGGCTAAAACAGTAATCTATGTCACATGCATTTTACCACACGCAAAGGAGCGCAGCGTGGAAGGGCTTTCTCGCGCCGTCGTCTCACAGGTGCAGTTTTCACACTGTGATTGTTTACCTTTCGTTCAATGTTTTAGAGTAGCGTTCGCGTTTTCTGTTTTTAGAAATAGATGCAAGGGAAGCCAGAACTCACTAAAGTAGGCCTCTGTGACCTCTCTGGACACCGTGCCACCCCAGGCGGAACGGTCAGCCTGATGTGTGTGGGCAAAGGTCACACTTTGTGCCCAGAACAGGAGCCTTTGGCGACGGCAGCCGCCTGTCCTCCAGCGAGTCTCGGAAAGCAGGTCTTACCCGTTTCCTTAATGTCTGGGCGAACCCAGCGGCCGCCCGTCATGGAGACCGAGTCCCCGGACTCCTGGCTCCTTTGGACCCAGCAGTGTCCAGTTTTGACGCCGTGACACCTTCCGTTTGGTCCTCGCCTCTCCCGCGTGCACGTGCCTGTTCCCCACCAGCGACTCTGCTCCGGGGCGACCTGCCTGAAACGCAGCTTTCAAGCTCACGGTTTTATGAAGTTCGGGGCTGGCTTCAGAATTCCAGCCCGGGCACGCGGACGGGGACGTGTGTGTTTTCCTTGCAGCACACGGCTGGCCTCAGGCCTCAGAACTGGCCGGCTCCTTCTCAGAGGCCCCCCGGCCCCCAGCACAGAGCTGCTTTCAGCAGACAGGCTCAAAGCCTTTCTGGGAACTGTGTCTCTGGCCTCTCGTCAGTCAGAACTGTGTGACCCACGCCAGTAATGTCACAAGCTCCGTGAAGGGACGCTAACTCGAGTTCGTGATGACTTCTCAGCATAGTCACTTGTCTTAATTGGTAGCTTTCTAATACTCATGGAAAGATTAAAGCAAAAAACATGTTTTGTACAGTGTGAGCCTTCAACACACGCATTGAAAATGTGTTTTTCCTCCTGCAGAGTGCGAGATGGCACACGGGTTAGCGGGAGGCCCTCGGAGAGGGGGCTGGAGGATTTAGCGCCCCTTCGCTCCCCTCCTGGCGGCCCGGGGCCTCCCCTGGGCACGGCGGGCACCATGGACTCGCCGGGGTACAACTGCTTCGTGGACAGAGACAAGATGGACGCTGCCATCCAGGACCTGGGGCCCAAGGAGCTGAGCTGCACGGAGCTGCAGGAGCTGAAGCAGCTGGCGCGCCAGGGCTACTGGGCCCGCAGCCACGCCCTGCGGGGGAAGGTGTACCAGCGCCTGATCCGGGACATCCCCTGCCGCACGGTCACGCCGGACGCCAGCGTGTACAGCGACATCGTGGGCAAGATCGTGGGCAAGCACAGCACCAGCAGCCTGCCCCTGCCCGAGTTCGTGGACAACACGCAAGTGCCCAGCTACTGCCTGAACGCGCGCGGCGAGGGGGCTGTGCGCAAGATCCTCCTGTGCATCGCCAACCAGTTCCCCGACGTGTCCTTCTGCCCCGCGCTGCCGGCCGTGGTGGCCCTGCTGCTGCACTACAGCATCGACGAGGCCGAGTGCTTCGAGAAGGCCTGCCGCATCCTGGCCTGCAACGACCCCGGCCGCAAGCTGATTGACCAGAGTTTCCTGGCCTTTGAGTCTTCCTGCATGACGTTTGGGGACCTGGTGAACAAGTACTGCCAGGCGGCCCACAAGCTGATGGTGGCCGTGTCGGAGGACGTCCTGCAGGTCTACGCGGACTGGCAGCGCTGGCTGTTCGGGGAGCTGCCCCTCAGCCACTTTGCCCGCGTCTTCGACGTCTTCCTGGTGGAGGGGTACAAGGTGCTGTACCGCGTCGCCCTGGCGATTCTCAAGTTCTTCCACAAGGTGAGAGCGGGGCAGCCGCTCGAGTCCGACAACGTGAAGCAGGACATCCGCGAGTTCGTGAAGGACATCGCCAAGACCGTGTCCCCCGAGAAGCTGCTGGAGAAAGCGTTCGCCATCCGCCTGTTCTCGCGCAAGGAGATCCAGCTGCTGCAGATGGCCAACGAGAAGGCCCTGAAGCAGAAGGGCATCACCGTCAAGCAGAAGAGGTAGGAGCCGCGGGCCGCCAGGCGGGGCGGGGGTGAGTGCGGCCTGCCAGCCTCGGGTCGCCCACCCTTCGTGAGTGGGCAGAAGGACCCTGGAAGACAGGAGGGCCCTCCTGGTCCTGTCCCGGAGGTTGGCCCGAGGCTGAGATGGGAGCTGGATGCTGAGCGTGGGGTCAGGGGGCCTGCGGGGCCCGGCCCGCCCCCCAGCGGTCATCTCAGAGCAGCCCCTCCTCCGCCCTCCGGCTCTGGGCTCTGTGGCCAGTCATCCCCGTGGCTGCTGGATGTGGCCTCCCTGCCCTGAGCACAGGCCCCGGGGAGCAGGGTAGGGAAGGGACACGGTGTCCCAAGACGGCTTAGCAGCTGACACTGTGACCGTGCCATGGCGTGGCCTGTTGGCACAGAGTCCTCTTTCTCCTGGGCCAGAGCAAGGTGCGTCTGGGGACGGGGACTCACCACTAACCTCTCCTTGTCTGTTTTATTTTTCCTCTCCGTGTCCGTTGCTTCCTCCTGTTTTTCAGTGTCTCACTTTCTAAAAGGTAGGTCTGAAAGCGCGTCTCCACGCCGGCCCCGTCTCTGCCGCCGGCTCTGTGCTGGGCGCTCGCTGTCTCCCAGGCCTGGCTGGCGCTCGCAGCCCAGCTTTCCCAGCCCCTGTCTGTCCGCGTGCTTCAGCTGTGCTGTCTGCCGGTGCCTGGCTGGCCCTGAAGCCCTGTCTTGCCAGAGTAGTCACTCTCTGTCCTGATTTCTTAGAGAAAAGGTGCTTTTGTCCCAACCCAGGCTGGGCCTTCTTCCCTCTCTGTAGCGGGGTGGGAGGCCCCTGGGGCGGTCCTTGTGTCAGGCCCCGGAACCAGGCTCTGAACCTGGCCCAGGAGATGAGGCGTTCCCTCCAGGCTCAGCTCCAGAGGGAGGCTCTGGGGGACAGCTCGGGGCTGGGGCGTGGTCAGGGCCCTGTTCTCCCTGGACTCTGACCCTCCCTGCTCTCCCCAGGCAGTTCGTGCACTTGGCCGTCCACGCAGAGAACTTCCGCTCGGAGATCGTCAGTGTCAAGGAGATGAGAGACATCTGGTCCTGGGTCCCCGAGCGCTTCGCCCTCTGCCAGCCCCTCCTGCTGTTCTCCTCGCTGCAGCATGGCTACAGCCTGACACGGTAACGCTTGGCGGCGGGGGGCAGTGCGCAGAGGGCTGGGGCGACCTGCGGAGCTGCCCCTTTGCGTCCTGCCTATGCCGGCTGGACGTGGCCTGGAGCCCGGGCACCTGGTGAGGCCCTGCCTCTCCCTGTGGCACCTGAGAATCGGGGGCCCCTTTTCTGAGTGTCTGTCACTCCCAGGCCACCTAGACTTTGGGGGTCACTGCCAGGCACCCCACAGCTCAGGGCCCTGCGTAGGCCCCGTGAAGACACGAGGCGGAACTCCACGTCAGGAACTCACAGAACTGTGGGGAGAGGAACACGTGGGCGACGGGCCGTGGCTTCACCCGCCTGCTCCTGCGCCCCTACTTGGTTTCTGGCGGGGCATCCCGGGCACACTGCCCTCCAAGGCGGCTGTGCTGGGCGTGGCTCCCCTTAAGCCTCGGATGGCAGGTGGCCTTGGAAGCTCTGGCCTGGGCCCCAGGTGACCCGGAGAGGTGATGCAGACGGCGCTGGCCCAGCCCCGGGGTAGCACTGTCCACAGCACCACGAGCCTTGTGGCGCTGCTGGAGCCACGCCGCCTGGCCGCATGGGGGCGCCAGCCAAGCCCTGGGCACCTCCCCCGTGCCCCAGCTCTTCAAATGCCAGGCTCCCGAGGGCACACCGAGCCTCCTGCAGTGCTGCAGTGGGACCTGTTTCTCTGGTTCTTGCTTCCCCGAAGCACCTGGCCTTCAGCGCTGCCTGCGGGGCTGTCTGCCATGAAGCTTCTCCCAGTCACAGCAGGGCAGACGGGCCCAGGATGGCCAAGAAGGGCCTGGTGGGAAGAGGCCAGGGCCAGGGTGTTGTCAGGTCCTCGGCCACCATGCCTGGTTCCCAGAGAGAAGGAGCGCAGTTCCCAGGCCTGTCCACCCCAAGACAGCCAGGTCGAGGGTCTGTGCAAGCTGGTCGGAGGTGTGGGGGGAGGGCGTGCAGGCGGCCGCTGGCACGTGTGCTCTCTGGCCCAGGTTCTACTTCCAGTGCGAAGGACACGAGCCTACCCTCCTGCTCATCAAGACCACACAGAAGGAGGTGAGGAGGGACCAGAGGAGCGGGGTGCTCTGGGGGGCCATGTCTCCCCAGGCTGACGGCAGAGTCAGAGCTGGGATGTCGCCAGCGCACAGGGCTCGGCCCATGCTCGAGGCCACGGAGGGGAATGAGCATGGCCCCGAGGCGACCACGTACCGCCCTCAATGCCAGCCCCAAGCCCTGGCGGGAGACGGGGTGTGCCCACCCCAAACTCTGTGTTTCCTGTGCCGCTGTTGCCCCGAGACTGCCCCACAGCAGGGCTCCCAGCTGGGCCCCTCGGCAGGCTGGAGCAAGGCCAGGCTCGGGGGCTGGCAGGGGCGGCCTCACCCGGCCCTTCCTCCCCAGGTGTGTGGAGCATACCTGTCAACAGACTGGAGCGAGAGACAAAAGTTTGGCGGCAAGCTGGGCTTCTTCGGGACCGGAGAATGCTTCGTGTTCAGGGTGAGTGGGGCAAGCGCAGCCCCCGTGTAGGCCCAGCAGCCACAGCCCCCCGGGGAGCTCGCCGGGCCCTGCCTTGCTTTCGTCACGGTGGATACGCTACAGGACAAGCTCCTTGGTGCGTCTGGGTTTTGGTTCTTAGACCATGTGCTCCGTGACGGGGGGCTTTATCTGCGTGTGGCACGACCTCCCAAGCCCCTGGCTCGCCCCCCGCTCCCCGCCCCGTGGGCTCTGGATAAAGATTCTCGGGATGAAAACGGGCCGTGGCTCTTGGGGGCCCGGGCACCAGTCCCTCATGCTGTCCTTTGGCCGCAGCTGCAGCCGGAGGTGCAGCGCTACGAGTGGGTGGTCATCAGGCACCCGGAGCTGACTAAGCCAACGTCCCTCGTGTCCTCGGAGACTACTGCCACTCCCGCCATGCTCAGCCACTCCGTCTCCTCAGACCCCACTGACCGCCTCTCGCCGTTCCTGGCCACTCGGCACTTCAACCTGCCCTCCAAGACCGAGTCCATGTTCATGGCGGGGGGTGCCGACTGCCTCATCATCGGTGGGCCCCGTCTCCCTCGGGCCTTGGGTGGGCTCCGCCTGCCCTGGGGCGGGCGCAGGGATGATAGGGGTTGAAGCCCCTGCCCAGCCCCTCTGACCAGGATGGCAGCTGCCTTGCCAGAGCCCCCGTACCCTGGGTTGTCAGGAGTGGACCAGGCAGGAGGGGGCGGGAAAAGTGGGCTGGGAAGCAGGGTCCAGTCCACCCGGGGGCTTCAGAGGGGCAAAGGTCAGCCCGTGGTTTCAGAGAGACCTCTGGCAGGTGGGGGAGCCTGCGGCAGTGCCGGGCTGTTGGGCAGAGGGGCGGCCGCTGACCTGAGCATCCCACAGGGGGAGGTGGTGGCCAGGCGCTTTACATCGACGGGGACCTGAACCGGGGCCGCACGGGCCACTGTGACACCTTCAACAACCAGCCCCTCTGCTCTGAGAACTTCCTCATTGCTGCCATCGAGGCCTGGGGCTTCCAAGACCCTGACACTCAATGACAGGCCTGCGCCAACGGTGACTGGGCCCCTGCCGTGGGGTGGTGGGACAGAGGCTGGGCCCCTCCCCAGGGAGCTGAGAGTGAACAGACGGGCATGGTGGGCAGGGTTGGGGTGGCACGGCTGGACTGGCTCCCGGGGCCCACCTGCATCCGGGGGCTGGTGCCCCACACCCCCCAGCACCTGCCCGGAGGCATCTTCCTCCCCTACCCAGGGCCCTGGCTCTCCTTGAGGCGGGGCACGTCCTGAGCTCAAGGCCTTGTGGGTGGGGGGTCCCTCTCCATGGATGTTTGGCGCCTGGGAGTCAGGACACGCAGAAGGAGGTGCCTCCAAGTGTGGGGCTGAGGGGCCCCCTGCTGGTGCCTCGTGGCGTTGCTCCCCTCAGAGCAGGGTCCTGTGTGGGTCCTGAGAAGGGACAGGCGCCAGGACTGCGCCCTGGCTGGGTCCCCTGCCCATCCCCAGCCTCCCCAACAGTGACCCCACACAGGTCCCCAGGGCTGCATCTGCCGCTGCTGAGGGCTCCACCCCCTCCCCGCAGCGGGGCCAGTGGGATGGGACTGACTTCTTCACGTCCTTGTGTTTCTGCAGGGCCCGAAGCTCTTGCTGGCCTGGCTGCAGGTTCACGTCTGGGAGGGGCTCTCTGTGAACGACCAAAACTAGCCTGATGCACCCCCAAGGGTCTGCGCAGAGAAGCCAGGACCCGCTGGGGCTTCCCAGCCTCCTCCTCTCCAGCCCGACGGCTTCCCTGAGCCCCCTGCAGCCTCTGCGGCTGCCCGGTTTCACCTCCATCACTGCAGTGACCGGGGCCCGGCTCCGGTCCACACCCCTCAGCGTGGCCAGCTGCCTCAGCCACTGCCCCCCTCTTCGCCAGGCCCTGCACCCTCCCCGGGGCCCCGCCTGGTGCACATTCTCCCTGTGCCCCTGTCGTGGCGCTGTGGCTGGCCACAGGCCAGAGCTTTCCGCCTCTCTCTCCCCTGCAGCCACGGGGCCCTGGGCCCTTGCCCTGCCGCCTGAGCCCGCGCAGGCCACGGTGCACAGAAGGTGCCAGGGGGTACTTGCCGCCCAGCACTGCAGGGAGCAGCCCCACCCCATGACTTCCCTCCTGCCTTGTGACCTCCTTCAGCTGGTCCTGAGGGCACCATGGAGGGAAGAGGGGAGAAGCAGAGGCCTGGGGGCTGTGCCAGCGCTATGGAGGCCTGGGTCACCGGTGCAGATCCCAGGGGTCCTGCCCTGCCGTGTCCCCACATGGCTCCAGCCAGCACCATTTGGGTAGCCCATGCCCATCTCCTCTCTTTGCTTGCTCTTCCTGTGGGGGGGGTGGTCATCCTCCTCTGCTCATCCGTTTGTGTCACCTCTGAACGGGGCCACAGTGGTGCAGGAGGAAGGACCAGGAACTCCGTGTGGCTTTGGGCAAGCTGGTAAGCCTGTCTAGAACTCAGTTTGCCCAACTGTGAAATGGGCCTGTCATTCTGCCCTGCTGTCCTCAAGGGGACAGGGCTGGGAGGGGGTGTCCCCGCTCACCCCCACTGACAGAGGCAGCCCTCCTCCCACCCCGTAGCCCTGGTCTGTACCACCATCTTAGGTGTTTATTAAACACAGTCTTGTCGCATTGACTCCAGGGGTCCAAGTCTGGTCTCTTCAGCCAGAGGGGTCCCCAGGGGCTTCCCCAGGGCCTGCAGCCAAATGGGGCCAGGGGGCTGCACCTGCAGTGCTCGTCCTCGTCCTCGCTTTGTCACCGGGACGCCACACGCAGCCTTCCCCAATGCAGCCTGGCTGTGAGGCCCTGCCACAGACTTCCTAGGCTTGGGGGTTGATTTTCTGGTGAGGAAGTCCAGCAGGGTCTGTGTGGCTGCCCTGGAGAGCCAGACCAGGAGGGCCGAGGCCACTTAGTCATGATTTTGATGTCATGAGCGAGGCTCTTTGTGTGTGTGTGTGTGTGAGATACTTAGTTTCTCTAAATTTAATGTCTTCTAACTTTTCTGCTAACCTAGAAGGTATGTGTGATTGTTGTCTCTGTGTTTTATTTATTTATTTATTTTTAACATCAGACGGGTCACGTGCTGACGTAGCAGGTTTGAGGGAGGCACATCTCACGCATGCGCATGAAAACCCAATCGTCATGCCTGTGAACTACAAAAGGATCTCTCTTTTTTATTCTTATCATTGTCCTTGGCCGGCGCGGTGGCTCATGCGTGTAATCCCAGTGCTCTGGGAGGTCGAGGAGGGAGGATCGCTTGAGCCCAGGAGTTTGAGACCAGCCTGAGCAAAAGCGAGACCCTGTCTCTACCAAAAACAGAAAAAATTAGCCGAGCATGGTGGTGCATGCCTGTAGTCCCAGCTACTCGGGAGGCTGAGGCAGGAGGATCGCTTGAGCCCAGCAGTTTGAGGTTGCTGTGAGCTAGGCTGACGCCATGGCACTCTAGCCCGGGCAACACAGTGAGACTCTGTCTCAAAAAAAATAAATAAATAAACATCGTCCTTGTTATTATCTGATACTAGATGTTCCCAAACAGAACATAATTTATTTTGTTAACGTTCTCTATTTCTTCTTGATTATTTGTTAGTTTTTGGTGTTAAAAATTAGCCAAAATTGGATGGAATTGCTTAATGAATTATTTTTTTAGAAACATTTAAATCTTTAATTATTTTAATAGACCACTTTGCACTGAATAAACATTTATTTTTAAAACAACAAAATTGAACCTAATTTAAACCAGTTTGTTAAACAAAATGAATTCGGTAAAGCAGACTGTAGCCTTTCAGGCTTCAGAAAAATCAGTTTTTAAAAAATTTATAATATAGGAGGAAGTCTTAGATTTTATGAATATTTAAGAGTTTTAATTATTAAACTAAAATATTTCAGTGTTTTCTATTTTTATAAGCTGCATGCTTAATTTTTTGAGTTTTTCAGTGCAATGTATTTTAGAGCATTCTGACAATTTCTGAAGGCCTTCAAATTTGTCTTATCTATTTCCTGAACCCAGAAGGCCTTAGCAATCTCCTTAAGGATTTTATATTTAATAATTTAATTTTTGTACCTTTTTATTTTGAAATACAATGAAACTCGATTTGAGGGGGAGTTGCAGAGGTGGCCCAGCTTCCACACGCCCTCGCCCACTGTCCTCACCCACTGTCAGCGTCAAAACGAAGACATTACCGTGGACGCAGGGCCATTTACTAAACCTCAGATCCCGTTTAGATTGCCCGGTTTTGCAACCTCCAGGAATAGATTTAATGTTTATAGTTATTTACTTTGTCACATTTTTACAAAGTCCAGAATGTCATCAAACAAGATCAACACCGGCCCAAAAAATTTTTTTGCCATTAGGCGACGTAGCCACTGTGTCAAATGTGGATTCCTGTGGATTCTCGATGGTTCTCTTCCTCAGCCTAAATGTGTTGTTTGCATGGAAAAATTACCGCGTGAAACAGGAGTGCCACGCAAGCCTCACAGGTACTTCATGCTACATCTGTGTCATGCAGAAAAGTGTATGGAGTTTTAAAAATAATCTGGTGTAGTTTTTTGATGATCTTCATCCTGTTAGTGTCAGATTGCGCTCAAGAAGTAGTTACAACGTCATGTGATTCGCTGCTGAAAACAAAATGCCTCACGTTTGCAGAGTCACTCATTTTACGGAACTGTGGGATTTATCACACGGCTTGGGGCCACGGCAGCAGAGTCAGTGGACGCAGGGTCATATGGACACGTGACACAGAGACAACACTAGGGAGACCTTCCACCGCAGGTTGCTGGGTCCACAGAGTCATCTGAGGGCTCACTCAGTGTCACAGCGAGTGACACTGTGAGGTGCTCCTGGCCTGAGGGGGCCAGGAGAGACCGTGGACGTGGGCAAGGCGATGCCGTCCACGCCGCCCGGCCCGTTTCTCTCCCTGCGTGTCATGCTGCAGCGCGCTGACCGTCCGAGGACATGTTCCGTCCGAAGCTTAGGAATGAAAGATTGGCGGGAAGAAAGAGTTGCAGGAATAATTTTACCTTTTAGTTCTTGTGAAGGCTGGTTAGCGGGTTTGAACGATGGTTTCCCGGACTGACGCTTCGGAGCATCCGAACGAACGGAATAAAAAATAGACGACCGTGCAGTGAACGGCTGTGTGAACCTGCAGCCAAATGCGGCTTTGAACGTGAAAATGAGTGATTAGTGATACATGTCTGGTTAGTGTTAATGCGAATCCTAAATAAAATTGAGAACTGATAGAACAACCTCACTGTGAAACGCTCGATGTGAAAAAGCTTGGCGGGTGGGACACTCCAGGTGCCTGTCGCCAGGACACCGGAGGAGGAGCAGCAGCAGCAGATGCGGAGTGGGCTTCCCCCGTCGCGTGGAATCCAAGCGACGGCATCAGCTGGTGGAGGCTGCTGCTGAGAAGTTTCTCTCCATTGAGGAGACAGGTACGTACCGTGCTCTGCCTGCTGCCCTCAGCCTCTGCAGATCATGTGATTCCCTGGTTTGCTTATTTCCTTCCGTTCACGGTGCCTGTCCCGTGAGTGCAACCGTGGGGAGTGCTAACGTTCGGGGAATGGACAGGAGCTGCCATCAGGAAAGTCAAGAATCCCACAGAAGGAAAAAGCCCAACGTGGTGGTGCACGGCCATAGTCCCAGCTGCCCAGAAGCCGAGGCGGGAGGGTCGCTTGAGCCCAGGAGTTTGAGGTTATAGTGAGCTGTGATCGTGCCACTGCACTCCAGCCTGGGCAACATAGTGAGACCCTGTCTCTTAAAAAGTTGTGCTGTCTCTTTCATTTGCAAAACCCAATATCAAAAAGCAAACTCAAGTCTCTCATCCAATATGAGAATATTTTATTTAGAAGTTTACATAAGTCAATGTCCTTGCTAATATCTTGTATTCTAATAGTGTATATAATATAAAGAAAAATGGAACACTTTTTTTCTTTTTTCGAGACAGAGTCTCATTGTGTTACCCTGGCTGGAGTGCCGTGGCGTCATCCTAGCTCACAGCAACCTCAACCTCCTGGGCTCAAGCGATCCTCCTGTCTCAGCCTCCCGAGTAGCTGGGACTACAGGCACTCACCACCACACTGGCTAATTTTTTCTATTTTTGGTAGAGATGGGGTCTCGCTCTTGCTCAGGCTGGTCTCAAACTCCTGACCTCAAGTGATCCTCCCACCTCGGCCTCCCAGAGTGCTAGGATTACAGGCGTGAGCCACCATGCCCAGCTGGAACACCTTTTTCCTTCAAGCCCAGAACAGATGTCCCCTCCCTGTCCAGTTCCTCCCAGTGAGACTGCCGGGCGCCCCTCACTCCCTTCCCGTGGCCACTGTGGGGCTCTGCTTGCTGTCTGTGAAACTGCCTCTGTCCACTCTGTACTCTCTGATTCCTCTTACCCAGACTGGCCATGAGGATGGACACATCCTGGCATGCTCCTCCTCCGCTGCCACCTGACATGAGCACTTTCCTGCTGCGCCTTCAGGTGATTGCTGGGGGGCAGCTGGGAGGCCGGGCCTGAGTCTAAGTTCCCGGCGGCCCCGGGTGCTCACTGGCGCCGCTTTTGTCAGTTCCTCTGCCGACCCAAGAGCCCGTGCTCTGGCCTTGTGGGCACTGTCCGTTCCCAGGAGGCTTCCCCAGGTCCCCGCCGAAGCGAGACCCTCTGTTATAACTCTGCCAGTCTCCCTGCCCCCAGCCTGGAGACCGACAGGCTCCTGGGCCCGGGCGCACCCAGCACGGCAGCAGGAACGGAAGGCCACTCGGGAGGTCCTGCCTGTGCCACTGGTGTCTGTCCAGGGCAATCCTTGAGATGTGTTCCTGGCGCCTGTGTTTGGGGGAGGCCCCCAGCGTTCCCTGCAGAAACATCTTCCTCTTACTGTAAGTGCTTCGGATGGTCCTGTGGTTGACATTAGGCGCTGACACAGGCCAGAATTGGGCAAGACCTTTCCTGAGTGGGGAGCGGAGACTGCCCTGGCCGGAGGGCGGGGGGAGCGTGCAGAGCTGTGTCCTCGGCTGTTTCGGGGGCCTGCCTCCCTCAGGGTGGCTCGGCAGGGCGGAGGGCACAGTGTTGGCCCAGAGCTGGACCAGGCGGGGCCGCCGTCCCCTCCGGCTTCCCCCCCACCTGCCTTCCCGCAGGCCTCTTTTGGGGACCAGACTGTGGCTGGCACAGCCTCCCCTCTGGCCTGTCATGGAACTCCCTTGTTTTATTGTCTTTTAAAAACCGAAGTGAAATTTATGTAACATACTTAACCATGTTAGAGCGAACAGAATTCAGAGTGTTGTGCAACCCCCCCTCTAGCTAGTTCCGCGGCATTCTCCGTCTCAGGAGGGAAGCTTGTCCCCTGGAAGCATTTGCTCCCCATTTCTCTCCATCTTAGGGTTTTGGAAAGGGGAAATGTGCCCCTAGTGGAAGGTGAATACAGAATGGAGATGTTCGAGTGGGAAGCTGGTCTCCCCAACCGGACCACCTGCAGGAAGCACGTGTGCCCTCTCCGCGGCCCCGCCTCCTGTCTTCCACCCGCATCTTAGGGACCCTTCCACAGTGAACTGTGGCCACCTGCTTCAGCCTCATTCACAGCGGCCTGTGCTCTGTGGTTGGAATGGCTTGTGACTCATTTAAATACAAACTGGAACGTGTCTCCTGCTCAAAACCCCCTTCATCTTCTAAGTCCCCATCCCGAGATCACCCCTCCTGGGGCCCCTGCCCCGTGTACCCCCTCTGCTTCTCGAAAGCACCTCTGTGGTTTAGCGCTGGCCGAGCCCTTGGAGACGCCGTTGCTCCCGTGTGGGCTGCCCGCTCTCCGAGGGCGAGACGCCCTCACGTGTCTGCGCGCCTGGAGCCTCACTCGGCGCCTGGCGCTCCGCTGTGAGGAAGTCGTCCTGGCCTGCAGGTGAACCCCCACGCCAGACGTGGGGCCCAGGTAGACACGGCACCCCCCGGCCATCCAGGGCTGAGGATTCATTGGCACTTTCTGAGAACCTGCTCCCCGAGCCCAGCCCCAGGCGCTGGATCCTCCCTCCACGACCCCCGCTGGTGGTCAGGGCCTCAGGTCCCTGCCTTTCCCGTCTTTTCCTCAGCCCTTTTGTGTCAACCCGCAAAACTGGGGTGAGCTAGAAGGGGGAGCTGCCCTGTCCTTGAGGTCAGCCCAGTCATCCGCCTCTGCCCTCTCGCCCCTCTCGGTTCTGGGGATTTTTTTTTTTTTTTTTTT